CTACCCCCCCCCCCCCTCCCCAACCTGACATTAGTACAAGCGCTACACATTCATGCACAACGGAGGTATCCCCGGGTTCGCGAGGATGAAGCGCCAGCTGCTTGCTCAGCTCGGAGACGAGGCCTACCTGACCATCGAGGGCAGCACGGATTCGGAGGTGAAGCACACGGAACACCGCTTCTTCTAGATCGACGGCCTGCTTCTTTTATGTCCTTTCCTTGTCATGTGTTTCTTGATTTACTTTTCTTCAACCGGCGCTCCAGTAGACGCGGCCAAAATCATGGGTTTGCTTCGGTTTCTCATTTTATGCCTTGTCTATGGATATTTCCGCCACAACGATGAGTTATGGAGCTTGCTGCCGGATCTGCTGTTCCCAACGGCAGTTGTGTTTGTGTCATGTATGGGAAAACATTTGTTGTTGGACGGCGGAAGGCACGTGGTTCCAAGAGCCGGTGCCGTTTGAAATGATACCGCGGAGCACGTAGAGCGATCGCTTCGTTTGAGGCAACAAGCCTCGGGGCATTTTTCAGCACAAACTGTTGCAGACTACGATTGAGCGCTCTTCCGCCCGCCTTTGCTGCTACTGCCGGCGAACATCCGGATCATAATGGAGGAGGAAATCCCTCAGTGGTCGCTTTCAACGGAGATCGATTGGAGAAGTGCTCGTTTTGCCGTGTTTTCTGTGTGCTGTCTCAACCATCTTGCGTTTTCGTTGCTTCCGTGCTGTTGGCGTTCCTGTTCCTTCATCCCCTCTCTGACTATTGTTTCGCATGGTCCACTTCTTTCGTTTTCTTTTTCTGGGCGCGTACAGCTCTGCTTCGCCTATTTCTTGGATGAGCTGCCCAACACGGGCGACCAGCTCAGCGCTCAGGAAATTTCCCAGGTAAGAAGAATAATTTTTCGGCACTTTGCCTATCTGAGACTTGAGTCGACGTTTGTGGAGGGAGCCTTATCGAAATAGGACGTTGCACTCAGAATACTGCCGCGAAGAGTGGGCGAGAGCCTGCGGTCACTACCGCTGAGCTTTCACGAGCATGGTGGGGGTATGGGTAGGCTGACTGTTTCGGGACCGACTGCGTTACCCTCCCGTCGAGATTGTTTGGTTTGGCTGTCTTTGAACTTGGCCGATTGGTTTGCACGCACAGAGAGTTCATTGGTTTCGTACCAACATCCGATTGTCTGCCGCAAGACGGAATACGTTCGTGATGTGTTGTTCTGCATGTATATTTTGTCCGTTGAGATCCGTTGGGCTCTTCGAGTGGAAACACGTCAGCTGCGTGAGCTGATTATTGTAGCGTGGGAACCGACACGCGCGGTAACTGGCAGACAGCTGTGGACTGGTCCTGCTGCCGTTTTTTTTTTCACCTTGCAACATCCCCATGATGAATGACACGTCTTTGCTCTCATTGGCCCAATCCAGACGGGGGGTAGCCCTTGAAACGTCGTTCGATGATTTGTTCCTGCGGTGCTCTTGATCGTATTCCCTCCTCTGCATGCGATTCCTAGCCAGGCGCATCGCTTTTCGCTCAAAAAACACCTCCCTTTTACCTACCTCTAGTGGCAAAACGTATGACCCCGCTTCCCCGGCGTCTGGTTCCCTTTCGTGTCCGCCTGCTCTCGTTTCTCTTCTTCCCCCTCCTCCCCTCTGGTTCGAGTAAAGTTTCTTGTCTGGTCTTCCCTTGCGGCCTGTTGTTTTTTTCCTTGCCCCGCAGGTCTTGCGCCGGACTATCGCGCGTATCGTGTCGGCGGTTGCATCATTATCCGCTAGCCCGTGTCCGCCGGCCCCGCCAACAGCCACGACAACAGCACCATCCACAAGTGGGCATGATGGTGGGCCGACGACATCCCTACCTGATGCTGCTTCAGTCCGTGGTGGCAGTAGTGCTTCTGCTGCGGCACCCGCCATGTCCCTGAACTTCTGTGTGACGGACGGTAGGCATATCGTTTGCTCGCGGTATCGCAGCCACGCCCGGCAGAATCCTCCGAGCTTGTTCGTCCTCGCGGGGGCAGGGTTTGCATGTGACGAGGCGGGGTGCTTGCGGCAGACCGCCACTGGTGAGAGGGCGCCTAATTCATAGATCGGTTTGTTTCATGTTGCATTCGTTCTGTCTGACGGTTTTATTCGGAGACGGGGGGGGGGGG